AGTAATATAATAACTCCCCGGCAAGGGAACAAGGATATCGAAATAGTCATCCCGGCAAGGGAGAATCAACTATAACCAATCTCACTTTGCTAGTAATCAGTTTAATAAATGGAAATACTTAATCATAGAGGATCATTAATTAAAGTATACAAGGTGTCATTCAAAAACACAACAACTTTCAAGTTAAGACCCACGGTCATGCTTGACACCAATGTATAGATACTCGTCACCATGCCTATACGTCGTACACAACAAGAAGCAAGTAGCAAATATGACTCAACTCCTAATCCCTCATGCTAGAGTTAAACCAAACACTTACCTCGATGCCTTGAACACAACTCAAGTCTCAATTATAGCTTTACCTCNAGAACATATTCGTGTGATCACATCACCAATTTAACATCATGAACATCGGATTGAGCCTCAAGATCCATGAAATTTCTCAGATTTCCTTTTAAACATCAATTTTCCCAATTCGGGTCCGGATCATGTCAAACGAAGTCCGTTTTTGACCAAACTTTACAGGAGTGATTCAAAACATATATAAGACTCGTACCAGACACCAGAACCAAAATACGGGCCCGATACCATTGCTTTCTAATCAGATTTCATTTCCATTTTCTTTAAACATTTTCAGAGAATAATTTCACTTAAAAATTCATAACTCGGGCTTGGGACCTCGGAATTTGATTCCGGGCATACGCCCATGTCCCATATTTTCCTACGGACCCTCCGGGACCGTTAAATCATGGGTCCGGGTCCGTTTACCCAAAATGTTGACCGAAGTCAAACTTATTCATTTCGAGGTAAAAACTTAAAAATTTTCACAAGATTTCACGTTTAAGCTTTCCGGCTATGTGCCCGGACTGTGCACACAAATCGAGGCAACTCTAAATGAGGTTTTCAGGGCCTCAGAGATAGATTTCAATTAGAAACAGGTGATGACCCCTTTGGGTCGTCACATTGGGTGACAATTATTTTATATGGTGGTTGTGAACATATTTTAATGTAGCTTGTGATGTTTTACAATGGTGAGCTGTTACGATGCTTTATTTTTTACTATTGCTTAATGTTTCTTTTTCTTCTTCTTCTTCTTTTTCTTCTTTTTCTTAATTGCAAAATGGGTTCATTAGATTTATTGTTCTTTTGACAAATTGATGATTGGGGTTTGTTGCTGATGATATTGGGAGGTTATGTTTCAAATTTGAGCTCATTTGGAGTAGATTTAGGCATTAAATTGTTATAATTGGAGTAGATTTAGGCATTAAGTGCATAAAAACGTTAGTTGCATTTCAGACCTTTTGTCCTTAAGTACATTTAAAGTGTAATTTTTCATTTCAGACTTATTAGCCTTAAGTGTAGCAAAATTTTTGTTGCACTTCAGACCTTTTGGCATTAAGTGCATCTGAAGCGCAATGTTTCACTTCAGACTATTGGCCTTAAGTGTAGCAAAACATTTGTTGCACTTCAGACTTTTTGGCCTTAAGTGCATCTGAAGTAAATATTTCACTTCAGACTTATTGGCCTTAAGTGCATGAAACCATTAGTTACACTTCAGACCCTATTTGGCCTTAAGTGCATTTGAAGTGCAAATTTTCACTTCAGACTTATTGGCCTTAAGTGCATGAAACCATTAGTTACACTTCAGACCCTATTTGGCCTTAAGTGCATTTGAAGTGCAAATTTTCACTTCAGACTTATTGGCCTTAAGTGAATGAAAACGTTTATTGCACTTCAAACTTTTTGGTCTTAAGTGCATTTGAAGTGCAATTTTTCACTTCAGACTTATTAGCCTTAGCTTATGTGCATGAAACCATTTGTTGCACTTCAGACCTATCTGGCCTTAAGTGCATTTGAAGTATAATTTTTTTTATTTTGGACAATTTTTTTTAACTTCAGACCCGATAAGTTTGAATTTGATCGTAAAGTGGGTGCGTTTGCAAATATTTTTGCAAAGTGGGTATATGTTCAATTGTGACCCCGAAATCGGGTATAGATGCAAAAGCCCCGATGTAGTCACCCTAGAGGCCCCGTTTTGGTGCCACGTGTCAAATGACGTACACGTCAAGTCAAATGAAAGAGCCAATAGGATCATGACATGTGTCAACATGACAAGGCATGTAAAGTCAAATTAAAAGGCGAATGAAACTGCGCCACATGTGCAAGTGATATGTTCTAGTCAATCAAATGCGGTCTTGTCATACTTCAGTGTGATTGGTCAGAAAAGGTTTGTTCTTATCACAACTCTTCCCTCCCACAACTGTAAATATGGGTCTTCATAACTCAGAAAAAGAGACCAGAAGTTATAACAAGAAGCAAGAAAGAACTCGTGGATCAAACACTGCAAATTTCCCCACAAGTTTCAAGCTTCAATCAATCAATTTTAAATTCAAATGCCCTTGAATTTATTTACTATTGGAAAGAAGAATCAGAGGATTCATAGAGATTGTACACTCATATTAATTGAAATCAAATACTACTATTGTTGCAATATTTTTCGATCTTGATTTTATTTCTTTGACACAAATTTATTATCTACAGATACCACTCATTTTCCAAGAATATATTTCCCCTACTAAACACATCCCTAGTCTTGCTAAATTTAGTGAGTAATAATCTCTTATCCTCGCTAAAAATTAGCAAGGATGAAATTAGTGTTAGGTGTTTGCCATAATTTTCTTACTATATTTGGTTTTCCTATTTGTTGAAGGAAAGGGCAATATAATTACCTTAATTGGGTTTTCCTTTTTGCAGAAGAAAATTATATTTCTCCTATACTTGGCTAGTCCTTTTTCTTGTAGGAAAATGTTTGGGGTTCTATAAATTGAAGATCCGTCCTTCTCATTCAGTAGCATCCACAATGTAGCCATATGGGGTTTGAGAGTCGTGTTTAGGGGGAGAACTTTACGGGACAAGTGTTAGTGTGCCACTTGTGTTTGCCTCTTCGTGAGGTTGTTCTCTCGTTATTTTGTACTCTCTTTTTATATAGTGGATTACTCATCTCCGCGGTGGACGTAGGTTAGTTGACCCAACCACGTTAAATGTTTGTGTCTCTTTTGGTATATTTCTCCTTTATTGTATGATTTATCGCCGCTCAAGGTTTGCTTTGCTAGCTTCCGTATGACACCTGATTTTTACGGTCCTAACAAGTGGTATCAGAGCGAGGTTCAAGACAGGTTCATCTTGGCGGGTTTAGTTCTAGCCGCAACATATTTGACGATAATCGTGATTTTTGTCTGAGAAATTTGACCAGTGTGCTACGCACGTTGAGAAAAACTTTGTGGTGAAGATTTGGAGATGCAACCTGTTGAAGGCTATGTGAAGAAGGTTGATCAAGTTTATTTTGTCAGAAAATTCCGATCAAGAGGGAGAATTGTTAGGTGTTTGCCATAGTTTTCTTACCATATTTGGTTTTCCTATTTGTTGAAGGAAAGTGCAATATAATTACCTTAATTGAGTTTTCCTTTTTGTAGAAGGAAATTATAATTTTCCTATATTTGGCTAGTCCTTTTTCTTGTAGGAAAAGGTTTGGAGTTCTATAAATTGAAGATCCGTCCTTCTCATTCAGTAGCATCCACAATGTAGCCATATGGGGTTTGAGAGTCGTGTTTAGGGGGGAGAACTTTACGGGACAAGTGTTAGTGTGCCACTTGTGTTTGCCTCTTCGTGAGGTCGTTCTCTCGATATTTTGTACTCTCTTTTTATATAGTGGATTGCTCATCTCCATGGTGAACGTAAGTCAGTTGACTGAACCACGTTAAATGCTTGTGTCTCTTTTGGTATATTTCTCCTTTATTGTATGATTTATCGTCACTCAAGATTTGTTTTACTAGCTTCCGTATAATACCTAATTTTTAAGGTCCTAACAATTAATCGCCAATTTTGAACTAGCAGTTAGAAGGATCGGTCCCTCACTAATTCGCAATATTCTAGTAGTGACGTAGTTCTTCAACAATCTAACACCAAAACATAGGAAGCTGTTCGAACTCAATATTAGAGGTCGATACTCGTGCTGCCCAATCTCAATTTTCACATGTTAAAATATTAGTCTAGTTAGTGATTGGAAGAGAAGAGCGGCAAGTAAGAATTTTAAAATAACTTTTAAAGTACCTATTAGGAGGAGGAATTGTGTCTGTTGAGAAATATAATTATCTTAACAGATTCTAAAGGTATATATTATAAATACCTGCCATTTGCCTCCAAAATGTACACACACCGAATTTTATTTTGCCAACAGTTTAATTACTTGTCTTCTTGGTCTCAAAATATTCACACCATATTCTTGGAAAAATTCAACTTGATTATTGTACTTGTATTTTGTTTGACTTAACAAAATATATCCATCAAAAAACATAGTGGGGGAAGAGTAGTAGGAAACGGCCAAAATATGGTTTTCATAAAAATCAAACGCCTGTTTCTAGCTAATTCCAGAATGATGTAGTTGACTATTGACACTTAGCAAGAGATTTGCATAGCTATTTGTCATTATCCAAGACCAACAAACCTAGCTGTCGACGTGAAAAAATAAAAGTAAATTAAGACTTTCAAAAATAAAAATAAAATAAAAAGCTATAAATAATGTACTGCACAAGATACATTCGTTTTCTTTATGAAAGAGAAATAACAATGGGTCATAAATTATACACATTCAAAACAGGTATGCTCATTTCAATCAAAGAATTCAAACAAACCAACAAATCTTTCCTTTTATCTCCTATCGAAATGATAGTTTTAAAGGAATATTCAGTAAGTATAATAAAAAAGAGTGAAATTAAAAATAAAAAAATAAAAACAGACATGAAATATAAACCACACGTTATCATCATACTTGTCGTTCCAACAAGACAATTCTTAACATGGTAGAAAGTCCCATACTTTCACCATTAAAATTCTTGGCTTAATCAAATTATGGGTTCAACTCCACTTGAGACCCAAAGAAAGAAAAGAAAAAACAAACTTAAACAAAAAATAAATTTTTTTTTGTACAAAGAGATCTCGCTCTAGAGAAAAATAAAACAATCCAAGGCAATAAGAGGATTGTTAATATCCTCCATGAGCAAGGAGTCCAAATCGTGACTTGACTTTACTTCTCCAATTTCCATTTCATCAATCTTCGGAGAAACCTGAAGTGCATTTCTCATTTTTCCTTCACGTTTTGGAGTAATTGCTGGCTGATTATTATTGATATGGTTATCTCTTCTCAAAGACGACGATCTTGATAAAATATTCCCGTTGGAAACAACCGATCTTCTAAACGAGCTGTCACCGTTCAAATTCGAAGGAAATCTTCGACTTGGAGATGGTGATTTAAGAGTTGTTCTAGTACTAGGAAAATGATGATATGTAGAAGTAACATTTGAAGTATTACCAATATTTCCTCCCTTGAGTAGTTGATCAGGTTCTTTTCTAAAACTCTTTTGTCGAACTATTGTTGGCGAATTGGCACGTGGCCTTTTCTTAGGGGTCGTAGAATTATTGCACTCTCTTCGAGGACTTGGTGGTTTCGACAAAGAGGATGATGATGATCGCGAAAATTTCTTGCTACTTGAAGACATGGTTGATGACATATTTTGACTAACACAAGTACTTCCTTTATTTATCTTCTTGATGTCAAGTATACGATCGTGTTCTTGGGCACAAGATAATAAGAAGTCGTTCGAAAAAGAACGATCCTTGAAACAAGAGGAGGAAGATGACGACGACAAAGATGAAGATAATGTAGTGTTAGTCACAATAGAGGAAAACGAAGAAAGAGATACTGAAGAAGATGATGAAGAAGGAGAAGAAGAGACGCGCTTTTGAATAGTTGAAGAAGAAGAAGGAAGAGAAATTTTTGGAGATATGGGAGCTTGTGAAATCACAAGCTTATCTTTAACACATTCATGGTTATTATCTTCTTCTTGGAAATCTTTTTGGGGGTTGCATTTACTAATGCAAGAACCCATAGTGGGAAATGTGGGAGGATTTGGGAAATAGAAGAAGAATAGAATTGATGGGAAAATGTTTGAATGGTAAACGTTGATAAGTCTTTTATAAGAATTAATATATTATATGAACTTGGAAAGCATAGTTCACTATCGGGGAGGAGGAAAAAGTGCAAAGATGGAAGCTTTTGCTTTTCACCAAATATATTTGAATTATGTAGCCGGGTATAATGGATATCCGTTATATAACCGTTATATGAAGCAAAATGATGGGGTTTTTTTTTTTTTTTTTTCACTTTTTCTTTCGGCCTTTTGAAATGTACCTTAACCAAGTATTGTACTTTTTACTTGGTTGGCTTCTACTTTTACTTTACGCAGGAGTCCGGTCTAGGGAAAATGTTGTTAATTTCTTATTGAATTTTGAATATTTTACTTATTATTTTTTCATTCACAAAGCTGCTACTCCTTACGTATTATATTTAATGACTGCGTTTGGTTTTCCAAAATCGAGCTAACTCAATTTCTTGAGAGCCTACATCAAATTACTAGCTAACTTATTTGAATTACCTCAATTAATAACACGCTTTAAGCTCTTTTTAGTTTGAATTAGAGAATAATACATAATATTGAAAAAATGTCACCAAAGAGGCAAAGATTTACTAATATTTAATCCTTACAATTAAAAAATTCTAACGTATATATTGAAATATTAATTTGATAATGTTTAAGATTTTGAAAACTTTTAATTTGTCGTTTGGTTGACGAGGAAGTGATTCAGAAGCTGAATTAGATATTCTAAGGAAAAACAGCAAGGTACATTAATAAAAACAGACTGTATATAACAAATGAATTCATCTACCGAAAGAAAAAAAAAATGAATTCTGATGACGGATGAGTATACAGTAATGCCTATGAGTGCTAAAAGAAAACGTCAGTAATTGTGATTGTAGCGAAATCTTCCCATATTTTATGTCTGGATTAAGACCAAGACTCAACAGATGGCGCGAAAGTGATTTATCAGATAATGATATACTCTGAAGGATATATTTGTGTGTGGTAGTGCATCAGTATGTGAAACCTCACAGAACAATTCCATTTTTATTTATGGAAATGGGGTTGCAGGTTGGATGATGATAGTTCATGTGTCTGACCCTACAGTGCAACAAATTAAGAATTAGACCGCAACTGGCATAGAATTGGTCATTATGGTTTTGGACAGAAAAGAGCCTAAAGGAAAAACACCTAGGAGTCAGAAACATTTGTGTGATGACCCTAAAGGTCTTCTCTTATTTTAGAAGTCAAAACTGTATTCCGAGGCCTTAAAGACCTCTTTTTATCTCACCTCGATTTAGGTGCGCAGTCTGGCGCAATTCCGGAAAGCTTTTATGTGAATTTTTAGAAAAATAATGAATTTAGTCTTTAAAATTGGTTAAAGTTGACTTTGGTTAACATTCTTGGTAAACGGACCCGGACCCGTGATCGGACGGTCCCTTAGAGTCCGTAGTAAAATATGGGACTTGGGTGTATGCCCGGAATCGAATTCCGAGGTCCCAAGCCGAGAAAAGAATTTTTAAAGAAAATTATTTTGCTGGAAAATATAAAGGCTTTTAGAAGTGAAATAATCCATTTTCTTGATGGTATCGAGCCTGTATCTTGGTTCTAGAGCCAGGTACAAGTTTATAATAATAATTAAGTTGAATCTGTGAAATTTAGTAAGAATCGAAATTGGTTTGGTATAAATCAGAACTATAGTTGAGAAAATGGAAATTTTGATGTTCTTAAGGAATTTCATGAAATTGAAGCTAAATTCGTAGTTGTTAATGTTATTTTGATGATTTAATTGCACGAGCAAGTCCATATGATGTTTTTAGACTTGTGTGCATGATTGGTTTGGAGCCCCGAGGGCTCGGGTGAGTTTTGGATAGGCCACAGAGTGAATTTGGCCTTAGGAATATTGCGGTCGTGTAACAGGCCTCTAATCTCGCAATTGCGAGATCAGGCTTCGCACATGCGAAGTGCTCAGGGTTCGGAAATGCGACCCATGTGTCGCAATTGAGAAACCAGCTTGGGCAGGCCCCCATCGTAATTGCGACCTCTAGGATGGGAAATGCGAAGCCCCCCTCCC